TGGGGGGGGGGGGGGGGGGACGGGGCACAAAACACCAGAAGAAGTTGCAGCCAGACATTCCTGCCTGTGGGGTTTGACATGTGGGATTGGCAGGAAGGTCAGGACTTGGGGGGGAATTTGCACCTGGGTTTAGCTTTGTGTTGCCACTTCCAGTTTGCAAAGGTAGGAGCTCTGCCTTTCTCCTTGCCTTTTCAGGGCCAGGAGCAGGAGAGACTTTGGGCCAAAGGCTACTCCACCCAGGCAGGGTGGATGGGCTGATGACATTGCATTACTTTGTGCAGCTTTAAAACAGTAAGTAAGTTAAGGAGATTCTGCCCCTCTATTTACAAAGAAGCAGGATCACCTCCAGGGGAATGGGGACATTTGGTGGCTGTGGCATTACAAATCCCCTGGCTGTTTCCCAGCTCCTAGCCTCAGAAATGGCTTCACAAGATGGGCTGTGGAGTGCTCTGGTCTCCCTGTGCCAGCCCCAGTGAGGGTGGGCTGCATCATGCAGCAGGTTCTGTACCTGCTGTTGGTTGTTTCACTTGTGTTCGTAGGACATGGATGGAGCAGCAATCCCATCCCAGCTGTGATGGTGGGATCTTGTGAGCTGCAGCTGTGGCTTGACTCAGAGGTTAGTTACTCAGAGCTGCTTGTGGTGGAGCTGTCAGCTCTCTGAAGGATCTGGGTTTACAAGTAAGAATCTCCTCCTGTTCTTCCTCCTCCTGTTCCTCTTATCCTACCTCAAGCACTAGGAGAGCTGCAGAGACTGCAGGGCTCCCTGGGGCAGAATAACTCATTCGCTGCCAGGTGGCAGAAAGCCCCAGGACCTGTGGGCTGGCCCCATGGTGGGGCTTTCCTACCCCAGCTGAGCCTCCAGCCAACAGCCTACCCAGTGCCTCCTCTCCAGCCTACCTGGCAGAGCCATCTGTGGGGTCTGGAAAGCTGAAACTCCCCCAGGGATGGCACTTCACCAGCAAAGGTGCATTTAACCTCAGGCGGGAGGGCCACGTGTCTTCGATGTCACGTTTTCCCATGGGACAGAGTGGTGGCTGCCAGCACCTGCAGAGGTGTTTTGGAGGAAGGAAGGACCATGGCAGGGAGCACAGAGGAAGAGGCTGGGCACAGCCAGGACACTAGGTCCTTGATGAAAATCCCTACAAACTATCTCTGGAGCAGAGAGAGGAATCTGAGCCCAGGTTTGCTGCTGCTACGTGATGCAAAATGTGTGCGT